GGGTTTTTGACCCTGGGAGATCCCAGAGTCAAAAAAACATGTAGGAAAAAAGCAGGATAGCATACATGGCAGCAACATGCACTGCCCAACACTGGAGCCTGGCTGCCAGCCGGTGCATTGCGGCTGCAGCTTTCCTGGCCCCCAGGACCTCAGGTAAGGCACAGTTGCTGGCCCCGGCCTCCCCTACCCAACCCGAGGTAACCTGCCATGTACCAGTGTGTGCATGGCATGAGCGTTCCTTGAAGATGAGTAGCAGTGGCACATCCAGCAGCTACTTGTCCCCGAGGAACCAAATGTCCACGCTTGTCTGGACGCGGCATGTGTGTCAAGATGTGAACAGGAGAAAAACAGCTCTGTAAAAAGTCTAGGGTAACTGTTTACCCTAATTTTTTTACTTTTTAATCTAGCCAGAGTAACATTACTTATATTTTAATCTTTTTGCACATGCTTAAGTACTTTGCTGAATCAGGGTGTTATGGGATCAGTGAAACAGATCATTGCAATCAACTACACTCAAAAAGGCCTTGAGACTGGAAACAATGAATGTTACTATAAGAAGACAAGCGATCCCTGTGTGAGCCACATCTTTTTCCTTGAAAAATTAAATGCAAATGTTTTTTCAAGTATTTTTTCTTTGCTAGTTGTTATTGGCCCGTATGTAGCTCTGCTCCTTTCCCTCAGCATGAGTCCTTTAATGCTGATGACCTTCAGGGACATCAGCATTAAAAATTAATGCTGAATTATGTGAAAAATTAATACATACAATATACAACTCATGCAAGTAGCATTAATAACTTTTAAAGGTATGAAACCAGGGAAAAATGTATGTGAGAATAGAAAGTAAGAGTGTACTTGTGCATACATCAGATTATTTTGGTTTGTTATGAACCATTTCCCTACTGTACATGTTTGTTCACTGAAGGAGAAAAAATGCCCATTCGTCAAATTGCTACTGTCTTACATACTATACCAGGAAATAACTCATCCATTTAGTTGGACCTGTCAGCGTTTCCTGAGAGCACCAGGAAACGCCTTTTAAAATATTAGGAAACCTTTTCTTTTCAGAGCATGTACTGAATGTTGATAGGCTCATAAGGAGACAATAATTTATATTCACTTGCTTCAGACAATGCCGCCTCCTGACTAACTAGATTAATCAATAAAGGTTATTTCTTTATGTTTTCTTATATATGCTGGGGGGAGGGGGTTGAATATTAAACTTCTGATCATGAATTTCCACATATGGGAAAATTTTAAAATATTGTGTAAATCACAGTCTTGCTTAATAAGAAGATAATTATTGGTCTATGCAATGAGAATCTAATCCTGTGAGATGCCAAGCACCTCCTCTGAGGTACTGATCACACTAAAATGCTGTTGAATGCAAATTTCAACCAGTGTAATGACTGAGCTCTTTCTTATGGCTTTGATAGGAAGACAGCACTTTGCAGAAATCAAATGAAATAAACGGGGTTACTCAAAATACTACAGTGAAGCAAGTGCACAACAAGTGTTTGCAAGATTGGAGTTTATAATTACAGTGTTTAGCTAGGAGCAATAAAGAAGAATCCCAATAACAAAGAAATGTAGAGCCTGTATGATGTGATAAAGGTAACTGTGCAGATGTAATAGACTTTTGTAAGATGTTTGTCTTGGTACAACACAATATTCAGATTAAAAAGTTATTACTATACAATATCAATAAAAGACAGTGGATTAAGAACTATCTAACCTGAGAATCATCAAGTGGGGTGGTGAATTACTACTTATTTGGCTACCAAATCTTTTTGTGATGTGAGCAGTGTACTCAAATGTCTGGATTATTTGGTAACCTGGGCCCATTCAAATAATTTGTTTTAATACCTCCTAATACCGTTATACATCTAGGAACAATGAATACAGACCAACCCCAGAAAACGGGGGAATGGTACCTAGAAAGCAGGGACTCTGAAAAGAAGTGATGAATCTGAAAGTGATCTAAGAGTTAGATGGACAGTTTACTGAACATGAGTTCTGAGGGTTGTACTGAAAATGAACAACTTCACCTGTTCATACAGAAGCAGTGTAAGGAGGCCTGAGCAACTGGCACCAGCCGCCAGTACCCACTACAAGGGGATGCAAAAACAGCAGCTGCCACAGCTGGTTCAACACATGCTACTACTGCTGTCCAGAACAGAGACCCTGATAGGTATGCCTCTGACACAGTGTGGGGGTGGTGGGTGGGTCCCCACTGTGTGGGGGTAGGTGGGTGGGTCCCCTGCCTCCACCCCCCACAGCAGCAGCAGTCATCAGGACACTCATGGCCGCTCTTGGCAGAGCTCCCTGGCAGCTATATGTGGCAAAGGGTGCCAGCCTGCACCCACTGCCGTGCACCCTCAGACAGCACCAAGCTGCTCTTGCCTGCAGCTCCTGGTACTGCATGCAAGAGCTACATGCTCTTAGGCTGGACTGGCTCCATGGAGGCAGGGCCCCGCCTGGCCTAGGGGTGTGCAGCTCTGGTGTGCGATGCCGGGACCTGTGGGTGACAGCAAAAGCAGCCCAATCCTGCTCAAGGGCTCGCGCCAGTGGGTGCAGGCTGGTGCCCTGGGCAGCCGCTGGGGGTCTCTGCCAGGAGCAGCCATGAGTGCCCCATCAGCCACTGCTAGTGCTACTACTGCGGGGGTGAGGGGGGTCTGTGTACCATGCAGGGGGCAAGTGGGGGACCCACTCCTCCCACATAGTTCTCCCTACCCTCACACAGTTCCCCCCTCCCCCCCATTCCCTAATTACCAGGGACAGAGCCTGGGTTGATCCATGGCTGCAGCCTTGCCTCACTCGTATTTGCTCCAGCATGCTGGGGCAGCAGGGGCATGGGGCAGCCATAGAGACGCTATATCTAGGGCTTTTTTTCAGCATTTTTTTTTAATATACTGGGATTTCCCAGTATCAAAATTAGAGTCCATGCTGCAAACATGCAGTGCGAAGAACATGTTTTCATTCCCAGCTTGCCTCTTGTAGTGTTTCAAACTGCCTTGCTGCAACAGGCACATGCTCACTCATCTGGACGCAGCCAGTGAGACCAATCCGAGAACACTGCATATAGTTCTAGGTAAAAGGATGTTGAAAGAGTGGAGTATGTGCAGTAAAGTCCTTAAAATGATATAAAGGCTGGAGAAAACATCTTCCTATGAGAGAACTTAAAAAAGCTCAATATAGTTAGTTTATATAAAATAAAATAGCGTAGCTTGATAAAAATAATATTTTAAAATATAAAATAAATTATAATATTAGAAAATATAAGATTATAAATATTATATTATAAAAATATTTTATAGTTTATATAAAATAAAATCAAGGTAGCTTGATTACCATGTATGTAAGTGCCTTCATGGAGAGAAAATATTGGATATAAAAGAGCACTTTAATGTAGCAGAAAAATAGGCAACTGGTGCCCCCCCCCCC